CCACCAAAAATTCACCAAACAACTCCAATCATATCAAACAAATCTCAACACTTACAATTTCACTCATAAAAATATAATGATGTAAACTTGAGTGAATAACAAACTTCAACTTCCAAACTTGAATATTTTTTCTCATTGAAACTCAAATTTTTTCCTTCTTGATCAACCTTCTCTTAGAACATTTGAACATTTACATTTTTTCATTTTTGCTCTTTTTTTCTTTTTCTTTTGAAGTTCACTATTTTTCTTTTTTTTTTTTCCTTTTTTTTTGAACTTCTTTTTTTTCATATTCATCCTTTAAATATGATTTTTGGGCAGTTTTTTATTTTTAACGAAGTTTTTTTGCTTAAAATTTTATCTTTGAGTTTGATTAAGAAAATTAATTATATTTAAAGTTAATTAAGCATAAATATATGTTTTTATTGAAGTTTTAAGAGGTTTTTCATCATATTATATTATTGGAAATTACTTGGGTTAGTAATATTAATTGTTGGTTGTTTTTTTTAAAGAAGTGATTATTCTTAGGAGACTTTTAATTGAGTATAAAAGTGATGTGTTGATAAAGTTTTGAAGGTTTTTTTTTTTTAATTAATCTAAAGAGTTGGAAATAGTTTCTAAGTACTACTTTTGATGTTTTATAAAGAAGGTTTATTCACCCATTAAAAAGGGAGATTATTAGGGGTTTTTAAATAATTTTCAGATTTTTATTAAACTTTAAACTTGCTGTAATTTCAAGAGTGTATTTTTAAGGGTTTTATGAAGGAAACTTAAAGAACTATATATAAGCCTTTAATTTTAACTAAAGGGAAGGTTTTAAAGTGTTGTTTGATTTGAATTTTGAAGGTTTTAAAGTAAGTTAGTATTGCTGTAAACTTGATTGATTGGGTATTGATTGAGATGTTATTGTTAGGTTTAGGAGAGGAGTTTATTGAAGATGATTTCTAAATAGTAAAGTGGCATACCAATTCGTTTATTCAAGGTACGTACAAGTTACGAAACCTTGCTTTTAGGTGCATGTTTAAGGACGGATCGAGAACTTAGTACCATGTATAGGGATGACTGAGTTAAATTGTTTGGTTATACATTGTGAATTTCGTATGACGTGCACTATTTTATATTTCAAATATTATTTGTGCTATAATTATGCAAGGTGCGCTTAGAGGCAAAGGTATGTGATTGGTGTAATGATTAATTTATTACTCATTCATGATTATATAGACAGGATGAGTAAAGGAAGAATTTAAGTCTTATATGACGAGGTTAAGTTTGTGGGGGTGCCTTATGTACTCAAGGTGTTTATACACCGAGGTAGTTAAAGGATTAAATAATAAATGTTGTTTGTCACTAATAAATCAAGAATTGAAATTGGAAACTTGCCTTGCTTGATTGAATTGTTATTGAAATGTTTGTATTGTTATGCATATGAGTCATCACCAAGACTAAACGTGTAAATCACGTAAAGTGCAAGATGGATGAGAGCAATAAAACTCTGGATTGGTGCATATCTGGAGTAATGACAACCAGGGGTTGGGGTACACGGGGTATTAACCGTGCATTTTTCTCGAGGACGTCTGATCTACGAGTCTCTTATTTCAAATATTTTTCGAAAATAGGAGTTAGATGAGATCTCATACTAATTACGGTCACGGAGCCGCGCCCGTGGTCGTTGGATGTTTATTGATGTTTTCGAAAGGAGGCATGGGGTTTTTTTCTTTTATTGATGTTCCAAATGGAGCATGGGTTGGACAACCTTGTCTACTGTTTAATCCAATGAATAAAAATAATGATTTACCTATTATTAATTAATGGAGTCTTAGTAATATAAATAGTTGAGTCATGTGTTGAGTCTATAAACTAATGATGCGTGATGATTGATTATTAGTAGCATGTTAGGGATTTCTTTTATGTTTTGTAGCTTGTATGTACTCAGCTTTGCTGATTGCGTGCTTTGTGTGTCTTTCTTTGGTCATGGCCTTCGCCTTTCAATGACCCTGTGACGATCCAATTTTTACACTTGTAATATTGGGGAGCAGATTAACCACAGGTTCTTACACATGCAGTATCCGTTTCTAGATGGTGGGATCTTGAGTGGAGAGTTGGTTACTTTTCTTATTTTTATTGTTATTTACTTTTAAAGTTATTTAAACTCAACTTTACTTTCATACTATTCTATTGGTTTGAGTTTTAAATAAGGGATTTAATGGTTCCAAGTTGTAAGATTTAATTTGGAGTGGTTATTGGTTTTGAAACTTATTTATAATTGAATTAGTTTTTCCGCTGCTATTTTCTGATAAAGCCTTAACGTTTGAACACGTGGCGGTAGCACGCCAGTAATTCTCTTGAATATTTTTCAGGTTCCTCACATGTTTAAAGAGGGAATTATTGGGGTGTTATATTTATTGAAGTCAAACCATTTCGAAAGCATGTTTGATTAACTAAACTGATTTACATGTCTAGCATTTGTATGTACTTAACATTTTGGCTAGTACGTATTTATTTTGTTTTGGCTTTGCCCTACTTATCATTAATGATGAGTTTTTTAGGCCTAGGTGATGATGACCGAACGACGTGGACTAAATACTGCACTAGGGATGATAGGCGGTGATCACCTAGTTTAATTTAATGTTGAAGCTTAGTCTAAATATTTAGTTATTCCGAAAATGTTTTGAACTACTATTATTATTACTAATAAAAGATAAGTATTATTCTTTCACTGCATATCTCTATTAAGCCTTACGTAATCACGTGGTGGTAATACTCCCAAGTTACTCCCGAAAGTTGGATTATTATTGTCAATATTAGAGAGTAATTTGGGGTGGGGGGTGGGGGGAAGGGGTGTTACATGCATATTTGGCTTCCTGTGAATGACACTAGCAAGATTAATCTATCCCCTCTTCAACCCCAATTATGTAGTATGCAATGTGTAGAGTATATCGGTTTTTGTAATTCTGGTATATATGTATATCTTGAGTCTCTAGTGAATAATGGTGGCAAGATTATTTTTTTCCCGTCTCCAACCTTAGTTGAATCTTTGTTTACCATTGCATCTTGAGGGTATTGTTTTCTAAGTTGTGGTTGATGTTGTTGGATATCTTCACCTATGGGGTAAAGCAAAGTGTATTATAAAGCCTTGATCTCCGACTATGAAAAGAAATTAATTAATGCTTTTTCTATGCATTGTGTGGTTAATTGGTATAACCTAATTTAAACCTAACTAAACCTAATTAAATAAAATTAAAAAAAAAAATTATATATACTTCGTAATAAATAAAATTAGAAAAAATTTGGAGCACTTTTTTTTCATAAGACCCAATATTAAATTAAACCAGCATCGAGGTGGGGATTGTTAGTATTAGGATGCATAGGGTAGGTGGATTGCCAAATATTGAGTTATAAATAAATAAATAAAATCGGCGATTTTTATGTTAATTTTCAAAACCTCATTTGTTTAAATTATTTTTCAATACTTAGTCATGATCGGTATTAGAGGTGATCAAATTTAGCTCTAACCACTGACCCGACCCGATTTTGGGCGGCTTTTGGGCAGATTTTTTTGACCCAAAATTGGGTCGGGCTCGGGCCGGCCTGAAAAATTAATTTTTTTTTGGGGCGGTTTTGGGATGCGTTTTCATGCATTTTTAATCGATTTTTTAGATCGGGCTGAAAATGGCCCGAAAAGCCCGCACGACCTGACCATTTTGTCGGGTTTGGGCACAAAAATTCCTGCCCGAAGCTTGGCTCCACTCGAGAAGTGGGCTAATTTTTTTTGGCTTTGGCCTGGCCCACCCCCGCCCATTGATCACCTTTAATTGGTATCTCAACTAAATCAATTTTTTTTTCTGGATTAATTGAGGGCAAAATCACATTTTTGTTCCCTTTTAAGATGCATCGCGTTTTGTATGTGGCTAGGTTTGCCATGTGACCGTTTGTAAAAGAATAAAATATCTTTTATAATAATATTGACCAAATAACTCATGTATTGTTGACGGAATAATCTCAATAACAATTATAGAGTAACCCTTATAACAATAACGAGGTAACCCCTATAACAATGTTCGAATTATCCCAGTAACTCACGTGGCTAGCCGCATATAAGAATTTGTGAACTAATATTAATATTAATATTAAAAAATAAAAATTATTTAAAACTATAAAAAATCAATCAATCGGATTTTTTAAAATGGCGTGTCATTCTTCTTTCTGTTTTACATTATTGGGAAATTATCCCTGGTACACTCCAGCTTTTGGCTTTTATCTTTGGTACACCTCATTAAATTTTCATTATCAGCGATACACTCATAATTAACACCTAAATACTACAGTAATTAAACCGTTAAACAAACTTAAGTGAGGGTAAATGACGGGGATTTTGTTTAAACTTGACTTGACTAAAATGCCTCCCACTCAATAACTCTCCTTCCAAGCCCAATTGCATTCATTTACTCCAAGGAGTTTCAGGCTTGCTTTGTGGATTTAAAAAGGTTAGTGGTTATCTCTGGTTGTAAGTTTTGAATTTTTTGGTTTAAATTGCTAGGTTTTAGATGAAATTTGTAAATTCTAGTGAATGGTTGAATTAAGTACCGTGGATTGGTTGAATTATGCTCTAATGTTGCTTATTAGCCTTGGTTAATGTTTATTTTGCATATGAATATGTATGCTTGCTTATTTTTGTACTCTTTTACTAACTTTATTCAAATTGATGACTTTAGTTTGCATGCTATAGTGTTACTGATTTTTGATTATTTTAGGTTTATATAAGGAGGCAAATGTTGGAGGGAAAGGTTGGAGGGAGATTAAATGGGAGGGCTTTGAGGTCTTTTACTCTTTTTTTTTTTTAATTAAAATGTGTTGTATTAACTAACTAAACGTTTCATTAACAGTGTAGTTACTGCAGTAATTAGATGTTCATTAAGAGTGTACCGCTGATAATGAAAATTTAATGAGGTGTAGCAAAGATAAAAGCCAAAAGCTAGAGTGTACCAATGATAATTTCCCTACATTATTTGTTCCCAGTAACATTTCACTACTTTTACGCTGCACCACTCTCGCTCTCCTTCATTGAACCGTACTCTGAATTCTCCATTGAAGCAGCTTCTGAGCTTTTATTCTTCCATTAAAGTAGCTTCTCAGGTCAGAATTTCCTTATTTTTTTTAATCATCGGATATCAATTTTACAACCTAGGTTTAATTTCACACTGTTGTTGATTTAATTTTCAGTATAAATAATTTAGGGTTTTCTATGGTGATTTATCGAACTATAGAATATAATTACTCAAGTTATGAAATATTGTAACGAGCGATTTTGTTGCTTAATTTTGTATGTGCAATTTATGTTGGAATTCTTAAGCAAGAAGAATTTATGTGATTTTTCAAGCATACTTCGATGATTGTTGATTGAAATAAGATTGGTTGCAAATGTGTTGCAGGGTTTTGTTTATTACCTTTAAATGATAGGACAAAGCTATAAAAATGGATATTTTGTCGTCAGGGCGGCGGCTGTGCGGCTGCCACTCTTGCCCAGCCTTAGGATATGCCTTATATTGAGTATTTTTAGTTAAGGCTTCAAATATTAATTTGATGTTTCATCTTTTGTCTCGATACATATGTGGCATGTCATATTTGGTTTATTGTAGCCTTTGGTTTGAAGCATTATATGTGAAAAATATTTTAATTGCTAAATTAATGATAATGTCTGAGCCGGGTTCAATCAACTTGGTTACACTTACACCCTAAATCCTAGTGAGAATACATGGTTAGACTTACACCCTTAATCCCAGTGAGAATACTGGTTTTACTTGCACTCCTAATCCAAAATGATTTCCAATTATTTTGATTTTGTCATGGTTATGTTCAATTGTTTATTACAATTAGGTCTGATTTGTGTTATTTCCATTGCTAATACAATACCCCAATGTTTGTGTGGATGCAGTAAATATATGGGAACTGCTGTTGACTCTCCGAACATGGTAAATACCTAACCTTACTTTTTAATAATGTGATGCTGCTGCTTGATTTTAATAACAGTAAAATGCTAGTTTGTGTGTGTATTTTTTGTGTTAATTGGTTTGGTTTGTTTTATTTATTGGTGTTTCTAACTGCAGGAAAATGGCAGGAAGGTGACTGTTATCTTTGTTTTAGGTGAACTCGCTGATTCCTAGTATGATTATTTTTTCCTTTGATTCTTAATGGGTCAATGACATTGTTCTTTGCCAGCAATGAGCATATTTGGTTCTTTTATGCTTCTTGAATAACTTGCTGTCAGCTTTTCTCTCAAGTTTATTTTCTTGTTTGTGTATCAGGCTGAAGATATACATTAATACTAAATAGATTTCTCATATGATGGACCGATTTAGACTTTGTTAGGTTTGATGATATTAAATTTGTATATTGTCAATTTGTCACTAATAAGATGGTGGATTTGAAATATGATATTTAAATATTAGATGTGGAATGGAGCTCTTTGTCGCTATTTGATCTCTTAGTGCTTAAGGTATTTCCCTTGGAAATGAAAATTCCTAGGCAATAGCTAAAATATGTTATGTTTGGTTGTAAATTTCCTAGGAAATGAAATTTCCAAGAGAAATGTAAATTCCCACATAGCATGGGAAATAACTCACCAAGGCCCCCCTAGGTGAGTGAATTCCTACAATACATAGGACTTAGGAAGTTATTTCCTAGGAAATAAAACTTCCCATGATGTCAACCAAACACTTTTCCTCAATTTTTATGCAATTAGCAAGGGAAAAAACTTCCCATGGTATATGATTTCATGTGGAAAATAATTTCCCATGTTGAACCAAACACGCACTTAGATTTTCAATAATAATGATCATGAGTAACGTAAGTACTACCTCTAGGGACGTTTTAACCTAATTATCTTGGGTTTATTTAGTCCTAGGAATATAAAGCTTTATGAAAGTGGAAGTAAGATTCTAAGATTGACCAACATCCATGGAATTTGAGCTTTGTGTCAACTTCCTATCAAACTTTGGAAGTTGTTTACTTTCTTTGTTCTTTATTTGATCTTCCACAATAATATGTAGGAAATATGTATTCAAATAAAGAGCAAGGAGAATAGAGGAAGGCACCCATGTGTTGTACTTTGATTAATAGGCCATATTTTCATTTGGTCACTGAATAATTATGTAAGAGCTAAGGGTCATGCAAAGTAGTTTTATAATACAAGTATAAACATGGGGCAAGTGGATCAATTTCTCATTAAAAAAAAACTATTTACCATGTGTGGTACACAAACTTTCCACAATTAGTAGGGCCATATACTCTTTTTATTTCATAATACTTTCCACATTCACACTATTTATATATATCCTACGATGAATATATATGATAATTTATACTCGAGGAAAATCATTTTCAACTTTTAATAGTCTATTCTAATGGAGAATTATACATGATCAAAATCATGCATCGGCTAGTGCAAAATTTTAAGTGTTACAAGCATTTAGAACTAGAGGAAGTATATATATATTAATAAAGTTAAAAACATTTTATTATAAATGTACATATTATTCATATATCTCATATTGTGAATTGTACATTGTTTTAAAAAATAGTGCTTAAACTTGAAATAGATTATGAAGGGGGCTGTTATGAAGTAGCACAATGGGGAATAAACATGGCCAAATTTTGAAAAAGATGCTAATTATGACTAGTCAATTGAACTAGATTGATAGATACAAGCTTTCGAGTGGCTTATTTCACTCCCAAAGGCTAACAAATCTAAGAGAAAAACTCAGTATTTAGGGTTCTTATTCCTTATGCTCCCTTATTTATAGCACTTATTATATATATGTTACTTGGACTCTCACGTATGTGTTCAACGTCCGACTTAGCTATTTGTGAAAAGATTCCATATTTTTGAAGTAAAGTGTCCAAGTGTTACACCCATGTCAAAGTCAAGAGTCCGACAGGAGTACTAAATGTAAAACGAAGAGCCCGAGTAACATAGCTTGTGATCTCATTTCCTTTAAACGAACCAATTATTTTCGTCTTCAAACTACACACAAGCTAATGTTGTAGTACCTACACTACCCATTCTATTAAGTTAGTTCATTATAGATGCCGTAATTTGTCTATGGTTTGATGATTAATATTAAAAAGATTCCTGTATGGATGAATAGGTTAATGATTTATTCACATTATTATTTGATAAATGATTTTTCAAATTAGCTGGCTTCAACTTTTGAAATCAAACGTGCCCTTTTCAATTGAAATTAAATTTTAGGTGGCTTTGTGTTTGTCTTATTGTTATTGTTATTGGAGGTGGTAGTGCTGCCTTTATATATACTTCCTCCGTTTTTTTTTTTTAATATTGCACCACTTGCCTTTTAAGGAAGTTTTACATACATTGCTCCATATCCATTTTAGGAAAAGAAATATTTGTGTCCACACTATAATACCTAATATACCCTTGCTTTTCAACCCTTACTTTTTATTTTGTGTATACAATCACATGGACAACTTGGTATCTCTACCTTTCTCTCTCATCCTTTTTTCCACTACCAAAAAATTTGTGTCAAACCCTTATGGTGCAATAATAAAAAAACGGAAGAATTATATAAAGTTAATACTAAATCAATTACTTGATATTTTTTTATTGTTATTGTGGCCTGAGTTTGACCCAATAACCTACCCGCTTAAGACTAAACCAATTACCATGTGAACTTGTTTCCTAATTGTTATTTAAACTCATATCTTAGGTTGATCAAATTTATTGCTAAAAGTTGCTTCAAAATTGTTACTATCCATATTACAAAGGATTACAAATTTACTTCCGACACACAAATTTTGCAAGAAAAGAGGAAATCTGAGAATGTTGAAAACTAGGGTATGAATTTACTATATTTGATGGTAAAGAGAGTATTGGAAAGAGAAAAGTGAGCCTAATATGAGTAAAAGAAATTTTTTTTATCTATTATTTGCCATGATGAGAATAAAGTTAAGGGAGTAGTTTTTTGTTGAACAGATAAACTTTAAGCAGATAACTCAACCCTAATAGAAAAAACCTGCAAAAGTTTAGTCAAGAACTTGGAAAATCAGTTAAAGGCAGTTCTAATAAGCAATATAAAGTTTTGAACCATAAAATCAGATTACCCTGATCCAACTGACATGTCTACCCATGGCCCATGACCTTGGACCCAAAGAGATAACAAATACACCACTCTCTTTCATTGAAGTAACCAATGAACATTTCGGTGACAAAATTTTATCATTCCTGTCCAACCAAAGCACAACTATTGGCAAAATTAAGTTCTGCCACATAAGTACATTATTGTATGCTCGAACTTCTTAACATGTGTATCTAACTTACCCAATCATTGAGGTCTTTCGGCTCACATTTCCATAGTTGTTCTCTTGATGAAACAAAGATGGTAATTGCTTCCATAGAATTTAGTATTCAACCGAAAATTTGTGTTAATGGAACCGCTATTTGTTGGAATAAACACTTAATTGGATCAATTAACAATTTAAAGCATCTTACCTATGTTTAAATTAAGAGACAGTGAGGTTGGGGAAATTGATCGAAGATATGGGCATGGACAGAATCTCAGAAAGCCTCTAGGGTAGCCCCTCTATATCATCCTCCAAAATCAATATTTTTTTTTTGGTTAAATCCAAAAACAATATTATTTTAATATATATATACAGGAAATAAGATAGAGTGACCAATTTCTTTGACCAAATGAAAACAGTAAGAAAGTATAGTAAAAGCGGAGAGGTCAACCTAGAGCCCTTCTTTATCTGTGTTTGTGCTCTATCTTTTTAGTGCAGATTTTATATAGATGAAGGCAGCTACAAAAGTTGGAAATAAATTTTTTGGCCTTTGTGTTTGTAAATAAGGTCAGTTTTAGGAGAACATTAAAACACCTAGCTTGGTAATAGCATGCTTTTAGGGGGCTGTTTGGTTCACTAAATAGGAATAGGTTGGTCTAGAATCTCATACTAAGGAGGTATGAATTCAAAATTCCATACTAGATTAAAGTTTTTTGTTTTTATTGTTGGAATGATTTTTGTAACTTCATTAATGGAATGAATTATGATTCTTAGGGACTGGGTGGGTATGAGATTATAGGTGGATGGGGGTAGAATTAGAAAATCCCTTTGGTATAAGGTTCCATAGTTAAAAAGCTTAACTAAACAATATCATAGATGGAAGGATTCTAATCCCAATTATCCAATTCCAAAAGATCCACTCAAACGATCCCCTAAATGCTAAGATTTTAAATACAAAGTAGAAGGCCTAGGTATTCATCTGCAGTCTTGCCTTAGCCTAGCCTAATCCAAATGGACATTGATTGCAATTTGATTGGACATGCGTGGTAATCATTTCCACCTGTTGGAATATTATATAAATGCCTCTATGATGAACCTACATGTAGTTTGTGCTGGTGTATTATCTATCCATGTATGTTATCGTTAATGCTACTCATACAAGGTCTAAATCTTTGGGGCTACTGCTTTTCGTGTATCAGGTGGACCTGGCAGTGGGAAGGGTACACAGTGCGCCAATATTGTTCAGAACTTTGGATTCACTCACCTAAGTGCTGGTGATCTTCTGCGAGCAGAAATTAAATCTGGTTCTGAGAATGGGTATTGCCTATTTTCTCATAAACTACTATATAATTGCTTGTGGCAGGCCTGTATAATTTAAGGTTGCTTTAATCATCACTCCTGGCTTATATTTGCCATCTTGTCTTAAATAGGGCTGTTCTCTTTATATTTTGTATCTGTTGGCTGTAGGGTGATCAATCCGTAATTAGAGTAATGAATTTAGTGTTAAGTTTTTGTTTTACTGCTTCTTTTGGTTCCATGAAATGCAATAATGAAAGCTGGCCCCAAAGTTTCTTATATCCTGACAATCTTTCTTAGTGGTTCTTTTGTGCAACTATTGTATCTGTTGATAAGCTGATATTGCATTCTTGGTGGTAAGATTATTGAGTTGCATTCGAGAGGTCTAAAACCACTATTTTAATGAAGAATATGACAGGAGACCATCAAGTAAATATCACTTGGTGCCACATTCTAAATTCTTAGCTATACTTGGTCTTATGTCCACTGCATCTTTCTATTGTGCGTGTGGAAAGGTCACCATGCTGGAATCTCATCTATTGACTCTCTTATGGGTTGGAACCATTTTGATGATTGTTTTCTTGTGGTTTGCTGCATTTGGAAAGCATTAATATAGTTTGGTTTGGATTAGTGCATTGGTGGGGCTCAGGCAAGAATTGCTTGATGGCTGGTTGCTTGTGTTGGATATTGAACTCCATAAATGATGAGTATTAGTCTGCCTGTCTTGCTATACTAGATATATTATTAGTTGGATTTATCGGTAGTTATCCTTGAAGTAATCTTCTGATAATAGCATTGGCTTTTTGGCTGTGGTTAAATATAGAACCATGATCCAGAGCATGATCAAAGAAGGAAAGATTGTGCCTTCAGAGGTTACAGTTAAGCTTCTCCAGCAAGCTATGCAGGAAAGTGGAAATGACAAATTTCTTATTGATGGTTTCCCTCGCAATGAAGAGAACCGTGAAACTTTTGAATCTGTTGTGAGTCTTAAATTTCCATGTGTTTAATACATAGATCATCAAATTCGGTTCAAAACTGTGCATTTTGTTATATCAAATTACTTATGTGGTGCAGACTGGTATAGAACCAGAGTTTGTTCTTTTCTTTGATTGTCCAGAAGAGGAGATGGAGAAGCGTCTTTTGAGTAGAAATCAGGTTCATATTCTTTACTTGTCTATCTCCATTTTCTTCTGGCTTATTTGGTTTTCACTACACCAACCTTTTACATTTATGAAGGGTAGGGAAGATGATAACCTAGAGACTATCAAGAAGCGTTTTAAGGTTTACATGGAGTCTAGTCTTCCAGTTGTTGTGTACTACAGTTTGAAGGACAAAGTTAGAAAGGTCAGACACTGTTCATGCTTTTCTAACCCAGAGAGTTTTGGTCAGATCCTCTTGTATGTCTATTGTTTCAAATTGACTGGGAAGCTTTTATATGTGTATTAAGATTGATGCTGCTAAACAAGCTGAGGCTGTATTTGAGGATGTCAAAGCTATATTTAATTCGAAGATAGAAGGTAGTTTTTCTTTTGGCGAAGAGATTTCTATGTTCCTTGAAGTTCTTTGTATCCCTAATCTTTGCAAATGCAGTGCCTCTAATTTTGCTATATGTTATTCAGCAGGTTGCTTCTGAGGATTGCCTAACATTATCAAATGCGAAGATGCCATAACTAGAGTACTGAGGTGATTCGTTTTCAAATTTTGCGAATCTTCTCTATTGATTTTAACATGTTTGTGTTGTTCTTCAGAATTGAAGTGCTCATAATTCTTGTTGATGCATCTTTGAAATGATTCTTTTCCAATTAAAAATTTATCCGGGCTTGGACTTCTGTCAGCTGGAAATGATTGCTATAAGATGGCTGCACACCTGCCCATCACATATCACAATTGCCTGGGGTGCTGTTTTATGGGCCTTTGGTATAACAGTAATACAAACTACAGTTTTTTTTTTTTTTTTTTTTTTTTTTTTTTTTTTTTTTTTAGAATAATGTGTATGGTTTGAAATTTTTGTTCCAAATACTTTTTTTTTTATCCTTTGAAAGAAGTGATCAATTTTGTAGCAAATACTCTACTTCATGTATGCACTCTTTTTGCTGACTTGTGGAATTTTGGCGATGTACTACAAGCCTTTGCTCATAGAATGAACTGCTTTGCATGTTGGTCTTGTGCAGCTTTCTATTATATGATGATTCTTTTGATGAGCTTAATGCCTCAAGTTTTATAAGCATTGGCAAATGTCTATGAACTAAGTTGCCGAGTCTATCTAGGACAAGCTTAGAGGTGATTGTTTGCGGGCTTGAACATGAAGCGGGGTGAGCCTATACTTTTTTGTCCAACGGGCAAAATGTACGAAATCCAAGCCCTTTTATGCGGGCTTGGCAATTTATACATACCCGCCCTTTAAACGTGTCGAGCTTGCATATGGGGCTAATGGTTCTAAAATCTTTGTTTTATTTTCACCAACACTAATTAATCTTTAACTAGTGTTTAAACCGCGTGATGCCCAAGATTGATACTTTAAATATTATTATATTAGCCTACTAAGTAAGAACCCGTTCGATACACAGTTTATATAAAACCTATTTTTAATTTGTACACTTTAAAATTTTTTATTAAGAAAGCGACACGTGGGCAATAGTGATGTCAGCAACTTCTGTTTTAGTAATAGTTAATAGTTTATAATTTTCATGTAATATATATTATGTAAATGAATTTGACTTATAGTTTTATTTTTTGATATACATAATAATCTTAAGTGTGGCTGCTCTTTTTTTTTTTTTTTTATTTAGTTTAGATTTAATAAGAAATATTTAAAAGTACAAATAAATACTCTCATGGTCTACATTAACTATGATTAAGATTATTAAATAAACAATATTATTAGATAGTAGAGATGACTTCTTATTCATTTTTCAATTGACCCAATAACATAAACATTTGTTTAATTGACGTGTACCGTTTATATTTCTAATTGGGTGATGTGGCATCTTGTTGGTTTCTAATTAGATGACGTGGCATCCTGTTAGTGGAATGGAGGGTGACACATAGCATGTATACTTGATTATAAACGTTTTTTTTAATAAATAGCATAGGTTATATTTATGCCACAATTACTTTTGAGAAGGTATAGCGTGCGTACAGACGCACGAACTATTTGGTGCGAGAGGCTTGACTGATATATTTTACTCGTTGGCTGATATGTTTCATGTGTTAGCTGATATGTTTCATTTGCTGGATAATATGTTTCATTTGTTGGCTGATATGTTTTGGATTGGCTAATATATTTCTTTTGTTGGATAATATGTTTATTTATTTATTTTTACTTTTGTTGGCTGATATTAGACATAATTTGGCTTATATGTTTCTTTAGTTGACTGATATATTTATTTTGTTAGCTGATATGTATATTATAATTGTTGGCTTATATGTTTCATTTTGTTAGCTGTTATGTTATTTTGTTGGGTTACCTGTTAATTTTGTTGGTTGATACACTTCATTTGTTGGCTGATACACTTCATTTATTGGCTGATATGTTCCTTTTGTTGCCTTATATGTATCTTTTGTTGGCTGATGTACTCCTCTTTTTGGCTTATATGTATATTTTGTTGGCTAATATACTTTTCTTGTTGGCTTATATGTATCTCTTGTTGGCTGATATACTCCTCTTGTTGGCTTATATACTCCTCTTGTTGGCTTATATATATCTTTTGTTGACTGATATACTTCTCTAGTTGTTATTGGCTTATATGTACCTTTTGTTGGTTGATATACTTCGCTTGTTGGTTTATATGCATCTAACATTCAACAAACAGATATATTTTCATTATGCCTTTTAGTAACAAAGTACAAGAGTAAATCTATAAGAAAACTAATGACAAGTTGACAACTATCTACTTCCCTAAAACTAAGGGAGTAAATCCACGTCCAACAAATAAAACCTAGTCCCACTAACAACGACTCCTAATAATATGCTAAATTAAAACACCCCCCCCCCACACACACACATACTGATTAAACTTAATAATTGCAACTACATCCACTACTTTGAAGCACACAACCAACACCCATATACTGATTAAACTTAATAATAGAAACTACATCCACTACTTTGAAGCACACAACCAACACCCACATAATGGCGGATCCAGGATTTTCAAACTGATGAGTCACCATCAATAACTGATCACTTGTTTCAATCCAAAAATTACATATATGTATATATAAAAAATATATTTCACCAAAATGATTTCAATCAAAAAATAGGACATAAAAATCCATACTACAATAGTACTTAAAAATTCAATCTTACAAGTCGAAAGTACGTACTCCAAATAAATAACATGTTACAAACAAATAATACTATAAAATTATTACATTAAATTAACTTTATTGTACAAGAATTATTAAAAAATTATACGGAGTACACAAAAAAAAAATAAAAAAAATAAAATAGTGAGATAACTTAAGAGACCTGTTATTAAATATAACAGGTCTCTTTAATGAAAAAAAGGCAGCGCAACAAATATTCATATACAATGTCAGCAGAAAAGAGACCTGTTATCTAAATAACATGTCTCTTTGTTATTTTAAAAAATCTGAGAAAGTGCTAGGCAGCAATAGCAGCAAAGAGCCGCCTATCTATAATAGGAGGTCTCTTTGATATTTTTTTTTTTAAAAAAAAACATTTTTTTAAACACCCACATACTTTGAAGCACACAACCAACACTCTCGATCTCTCCTTCGTCCTTCTTGCCGCAGCCCCCACTCACCACCAACACAATCAATCACACTCTTTTCCTTCCTGCCGCAACCCCCACCGACCACCACGCCGGAGACCAGCCCAGCCACGACCAGCTGTGCATTCAGGCAAACCCGCATCCGTCATCTACTTTCAAACATAGCAAATCTTCAATTTTGATTCAATAGCAAATTTCCAAAACAATACCATTTGGATTAATTATAATTGTATATGCAATAGATGTGAATTTCTGATTTTTAATTTAGATGTAGAAAGGAGGAGGAGCGTAGGAGTGAGAAAAAGAAGGGAAGAGAAGAAGGAGAGAGAGAAAACAAAATGTACAGGTACATAAACACTCGGGCTCAGGTGTTCGCACCCAATAGTTTGCGATTACTTTTATTAATTTTTTTGATTACAAATGATAATATAGAAATAAAAATGTTGAAATTGTGACATACATTAGTTGATCAAATAAAAAATAGGGAAATTCTAAATAATAACCCTCTAATTTTGCGTTTTCTACATTGTGCCTAGAGGTGTCAAAATCGAACCGACCCGAAAAAAATTATCCGTTTTGAACTGTAACCGATCCGATTTGATCCGAGAAATTCAAGACCCAAACCCAATCTGTAACCGAACTGAACTCAACCCGAATCCGAACTTGACCCGATCTGAACTTAAATTCGGCACCGATTTGATCCCGACCTGAACTCAAACCGAATCCGATTTGACCCCGACCTGAACTCAAACCGAACCGATTTGACTCGACCCGAGCTCAACCCGATCTGAAATTGACCCGAAAAATAACCGATCTAATCCGATCTGTTTTGACCCGAACTGATATTAACCCGATCCGATTTTAACTCGATTTGATTTTTACCTGATCCGAATTTAACCTGATCATAATTAATTATTTACTTTTTTTATTCAAGTTCTTATACTATATATTTACTAATTATTAACAAGTTAACTTTTTAACTACAAAGAAATAATCGTATCAGAAAAGTGCAGAGTACAATTGTGCATTATTGTAGAATTATAGGCGTTATACATCGCACGGTTATATACTCACTACATACATATGCAATAATTTATGCTTAAATAAAAAGAATTTACATAGTAACAATTAACTATAAATATGTATAATGTGAAGTTTTTAATATACAAATTGAATTAGTAATAAAGTAATTCTAACAACTCTAACAAATATCTTTAAAAAATTGAATCAGTAATAAACTAAACTAATAGTAGAGAACTTATAGCCTCATATGATTGTACAATTGATGAAGAGTTGTAAACATGTAATAACCTAAAAAAAAAATGACATACTTTTTTGTATATATCACCATATGTAACTATTATTCGTCAATATATCACTAGCTCGGTCTCACTTATATAGGTATGATAAGTCATCGATAATTATTCAATCTCAATTTTCCTCAAAGATAAAAATTACACATAACTTGATCAAATGAGAAAATTAAAACTTCGTGCTTCGTAATTAATAATCATATTTACCCAATAATAAGGTAAAAACCAAACAATATCTCTATTTTAAAAATAACCTAATTTGGATATGAATTTGGTCAACTCGACCAAAATCTAGCCAAACACAAAAAGGAATTGAACCAAAATTGGCCGAACCGAAATCATCTGAACCGTAATCAACACGACCCAAATTCATCCAACCCGAAGTTACCCGACTAAATCCGTTTTAAACCCGATCCAAATATATCCGAACCGAAAGTGAATCGATCTGAAGTTGACCCGACCCGGACTCAATAGACCATGACCCGAATTTGACCCGACCCAAATTTGACCCGATCCGACCCGATCCGAGTTAAAAGGATAATTTTGATCTGAACATATCCGACCCGAACAGACCCAACCCGAATAGACCCGACCCAAACTCCATCCGATTATCCGAATTGACACCTCTAATTGTGCCCCATCTTCTTCAAAGTTATACATTGCAACCCTTAGGTATAATTAATAACCATACAATAACCTTGTCGTTATCCCGTCGTTAACAAATTTTGCTATTTTGTTTTAATCACCGTTAGTGGGGCCTACTCTCCACTAATTAATATTTTTTTGTCAATTTGCGTGTTGGATTGGAAGATGTTCCAACGCCAAATTCCTAGGAAATATATGTAAGAAGATACTTGTTTCGGGGTTTTTTTTGGAATCCCTCGGGACACTGGTCACGCTTGAGTTGTCAACAAGACTCGGACACCTGCAAAACACGAATATTCCAGGATGGAATATTCGCCTCCGACGGTTAAGTTAGTAATCGGAAATCGAAAAAGCTAGATAGAGAAAGTAGAGAGAAGCTGGAGCTATTTAGTGCTCTATTTAATGTTATGTCACCATCCCCCTCCATCATAAATGATTGGAG